GCAAAGTGAGAGGTAGAAGAGAAACATGATTTGCTCCAGCATTATGGGGAAGAGCAAATGAGATAATATAATAGGAATGTTTGTCACCATGCTGCTAATTATGAAGTTTGCAGAAGATAATATTTTGGTAACAGAGGTAATGGTGTTTTTACTTGCAAAGACCATTTTAAATGACATTCTCCGAATGGCCAACCAAGATGACATTTTCAAATAAAGTAAAATCTGTATAGTATAAAGGGGCATGGTTTTCCAAGAGGGTGCCAAAGTATAAGTAACTAACTGCTGAGCATCAGAAAGAAGTGAGTTAATATGGAGGCATTGTTAGACATAATGACATCACATTACACTTATTCTCAAGTACTTTACAACTTGCGGAATAGCTTCACATCCGTTTTCTAATTGACTCGAGTCAGTGTGAAAGGCTGTTTGACTTAGGAATAAAAGATTGGTGTTGGGGATCAGTCTCACTTGTGTTCAGCTACTCATCTTTCACTTGGCGTCTGGGAAGCTTGAAGTTGATTAACCACTTCAAATCTTAATAACAGCATTTTGAAAGATGGGGTTATTAGGGAGATTTCTTAAGATAATGAATAAAAGGGCCTGGAATAGAGTAGGTACACGTTAAATGGTAACGTCTATCAGGTATAAATTGAAGGAACAATATTCTCTTCTCTAGTTTCTGGAAAGTATTTTGGAAAAGAGAAATAATCACGCTGCCATGTGTACCAGGGTTAGGGAAGGATCTATACTAAGACTAATCTATTCTCCAAGAGAAAGAAGCAGCATGACATTCAGAGCAGATGGAAGTATCTTATATGGTGTCATTTTTTAATTTGAGAGTGGGAACTTCTTGGTGTGTAAACTGAGAGGAGGAGGAAGCTCAGAAGCCAGCACTGCTATTCCTTTGGTGGTGATACAGCTCTCCATTGTGCTGCAGTCATTAGGAGGGTCAATGTAATATGCATGTGTGTGCGTGTGTGTGTGTGTGCGTGTGTATTGTGGGAAAGAAAAGTTCTTCCAGACACCGATGTTTCCTGAGGTAAGAGGTCAGGAGAAATGACTGGCACTACCCTAACTTGGGGAGCAGATATTGTGTAAAGGTGGTGAACCCTCAATACACCAGTTTTCAAGTTCAGATTCTATTATCTGTTGGATGATACCAGAAGTCTGTACTGGAAAAACAAGCCCTCTACTCTCATGGAACAACTTAGAGACTGGACGCAGAGGGCCAAAATCCATGTTTGCCCTCTGTCCTTACTAAGTCCCCTGTGATGTCAGATCAGTGTAAAGCATTCAGATTATGGTCACATATATGGGATAATTACAGTGACTTAGGACATTTCTGGAAGAAGGACAGGGAGGGACTAATTTCCAGGCAGAGAACATCACTTCCCTGAATGAAGGGCATGTTTCTACAAGACAAACTATGGAAAGCTGAAAAAAGATACGTATCCTTACACTATGATAGATTCTAAATTGGAGAGTAAGTTGAGGAATTATACTCACAAACTAACCTCTTATAATAGGTTTATCTCTTGAATTATATTCCATTACCATTGGAATAGTCACATTTAACTTGAAATTTATGTGTAGATTTCTGCTGGGTAGTTTAACTTGCCTGTGTGTCTGTGTTTAACCATGCTTAACCATGTATTGTGGTAAGATTTGGACCTGAGCTGGAATAGTCAATTAAGCCTTTCTTGTGTTCAGTTTGCAGCTCTGAATGGAGGAAAGCGGTCCAACTGTTACCAGTGAAGGCCATCCACGAGGTGAGCAGAGGTCTATAGTGATCCTGAAGGTTAAACAGTAGCTGCAGCTTAGAAGTGAATTGGAGGTATGTGTGAGACTCCTTCTCTTTACCCCAAATACACTAGCATACATTGTATATTAAAACCACATTGGGCCCCAACTACACCCCAGAACAATTTAATTAGAATCATTGAGAGATGAGATTCAAGCATCAGCATTAGGGAGATATCCATGTGTCTCCAGTATGTAATGAGATGTTATGCTCAAGGTAACCTTTGTGGAAGGAGTAGAGGTGGATTGACAGGATTAGAGGTAAGAAAGCAGAAGCCTATTGAAGTTAAATGACTTGTTGAAGACCACAAACAGATGCTTCAGAATTTTTTGACAGGCTGCCCATGCTGTCTCAAAACCATGTTTCTGGTCATCTTTCTCATTGTCCTGATCATTCTAAAATTCTTCAAGGAAGTCACTTCCAGAAAACAGTTCATATTTATGAAAGGATTACTTCATGCTTATAAAATAGAAAAACCATAAACTCTCCATGTATGAGGTTCCACATCCATGGATCAAACTCATCTCAGATCAAAAATATTTGAAAAACATTGCATCTGTACTGAACGTGGACAGACCTTATTTTCTCACTCCCTAAACAAAACAATACAATCATTATTTACATAATACTTAAATGATATTGGGTATTAACAGTAATTCAGAGATAATTTAAATTACATGGTAGCATGTGAGTAGGTTCTATGTAAACATGATACTGTGTTATGTAGGGGACTTGAACATCTATTGGTTTTGTGATGGAAGGAGCCCCAAAGCCGATCATTCACAGATGCTGAGAGACAGCTGTTTTCAGACCAAATGATGTACACCCAGAGAGGCAATCAGTGGGAGCAACTTCCTGGGACAGATGGCTGATAGGGATGAATGTAAGTGCTTTGTGACCTTCCTGGTGGTCCCATACAGTGGAACTCAGGGGGCACAAAGGTGTGCAGAGCATGCATACAGTTCAGGCATTAAAGATGTAGCTCTAGGTGTAAAGAGAATTACTATACATAGAAAGAACTGTAGCTTTATGTTTCAGTGGAAAATGAGTCTTTTTTCCTTTAGTGCAGAGTAAAATATTTGAGAGAGCTTGCAGAAAATCTGATACAATGGTTTCAAAGAGATAACAGTTGTTGGAAGATGCTCCAAAGCATGGATTAGCAAGGCTTACTTCTTTTGGGCAACACATAGATTCCCTAAGGACCTAAAGTGGGTTCCTACTAACTGGTCTCTATACCGCCCTTTCTGGTACTAGGATTACAGCTGAACACATCACTCTGAATAAAGTGACACTGGAATGTGCTTTATGACTGCCAATTGGAAAGATAGTTCTGTGCTATTTTATTTTATTACTAGAAACAACTAAGAAAAAAGAGATGCTATAATTTACCTGGAATACTTTAGAATTAAATATGCAAAATGAAATCATTCTGCATCAATATATAAAAGCAGTGGCAGGACTAGAACTAGAAAGGGGAACCACCCGTCAGGTAAATGCAATAGCTCAAAACAGGATGGAGAGCTAGAGCAAGTCTTGCTTTTTGTCCTGGGTATAGGAAGAGCTCAGTGGCCTTGTGACTCAGTGCCTTTTACTGCTGCTTAGTTGCAAGACACCTGGTATAGGACTAGTTAGTTCTTTGTGCTGGTTAAAACAAAGGCTGATTTTCACCTTCTGTAACGTCCAACCAATTGAAGTGTGTATTAAATAGTAAACCACCAATTTCTGGGAAATACAGAGGACAGATGCACACGTTGAGCATGAATGTGGGAAGTCAACTGCCAAAAGTGAGCTCAGAGAACCACCATAGGATATAATGTTCCGTTTCTTTAACAAATATTTCAGGAAAAGATAAAATGAATTGAATGATGAGCCTATAGATTCAAGATACAAATTGAGAAAAAGCAACCAATTCTGTGGTCTGACTCTATTTAATTTATGTTTGAAAAAAACCTTAAATTTTGTAACATGAACTCAAAGTTACCCTCATTGTAGCCCTTCTGGATTGGCGTGGTGAGCATAAAGAATGAACAGTGAAGTCCGGTTGAACTGGTGTATATTCATTCTACAGCAGCTAGCATACTGTTGTTTCATAATATTCATAATAGTTGAGGATCAGTATCAAACAGTCTAAGGAAGCTATGAGCATGTGTTTCAAAAGGAGGGACTTCTTCAAAATACTTTACAAACCTTGAATTCTCTAGTGGGGCTAAACACTTCTTTCTTAAGTTCCACACAAAAAATTTGGAATCTTGCAATTTAGTGTCACCTCTAAAGTTTTTTTTTCTTTAAATAACAGTACAAGAAGGACTTGCCCTTAAAAATAAATGGTAAGTGAATCTGAGGATGGAGGGAGAGGAAAGGAAACAGGGGGAAATGGAGTAAAAAGGGTTAAGATATATACATATCAATTTCCCACTAAGAATGCATTCATGATGCATCATAAATATGTACTAATAAAAACTAAAATTTTAAAAATAAAAAATTCCAAGGAAGTAATGAAGTGAAGAAAACAGAATTCTTTAGAATCTTTTTAGTGCTTGATGGAGATGACAGAGGAGAAGTTTTCTTTGTATCTCCTGCGTGTTTGTCATGGAGAGTCTGTCAGAAGTTAGTGTGGTCTTTTGATATTTGCTGTAGATCAATTAATGCTGAAGTTTTACGTACAATGGCATTGTGATTACACTAAAAGTTCTTAGTCACATATACTGAAACGAAGATGAAGTGATTCAATTATGGGATCTGTTTTGAGATGATATAGGAGGATTGAATAAAGATATGGTAGAAGTAAGATTGATATAACTTGAAATTATTGAGGCTGTGTGCTGGACACATGGAAGCTTGTAAAACCATTCTTAAGTACCTTTGAATATATTTAAAATTTTTTATAGTGAGAAGAAAACAAAAAACTGGTAATTAAATAATTAAGAAATACTCTTAACAAAAACTTTAAAAAATTGCCTTTTGACCAATAATCATTGAAACTCTTCCAACCCATAACCAAGAGACTTCCACATTAATTAGCAGAAACAGATTTCTAACCCCACTAGAGCAGCAGTGCAGACTATTGTTGACAGCCATAATCAACTGGGTTTGTCCCCAGCAGCACCTTTAATATATTTTTTTCTGAATTATAGTAAAGAAAGCACAAAGACCAAGAAAAAACTCCGATTCGGGATTTTTTTTTTTTTTACCCTGATAATTTGTGGTAGGTTTCTTTATTTTTTGAATATAAAGTGACAGAAATAATTTGCCATTAGAAAAGAGAAAGAATCTTTGACTATTTACAGCTTTTATACATCACAAAGTTTTTCTTGTTTTTATGTTGTCTTTTTTTAAATTCATTTTGATTTTTGTTCCTGCATCATTTGAACAAGTCCAAACTGGAAATCTATACAGCTCACAAAAAAGCCCTCCACCCAAAAGACCCCCCACCCCCACCCAACCCCAATGAGAAACAAGATAAATCAAAAGAATGAAATCAACTTATTTCTTTTTTAAAGGTAAGTCATTTGCTTATATATATACTTGTAAGTATTTTTTCAAGTTCAAACACCAAAATCCAAGAGAGAAAGGAAAAAATTAAAAGACCCAGTCATCCGCCCCTCCCCCCACTCGAGAATCTCAATTGATCCCTGCATGTCCAAAATAAGAAATATATATTTACACAAAACAAAAAACAAAACAAACAAACAAAAAAAAAGAACTTGGAGGTGGATGGGCTGGAGATCTGAGAGTCAAGAGGAAGGCGAGCCAGCCCCCGGGGAGGAGGTTGGGCTCGGGGCCTCACAGAGTGGAGGCAAGCCTGAGTCGTCTGTGCTTTCCCTGGGCAAGGGGACTCCACAAGGGGAAAGCTGTGACAATTTCCCCTCCATTATATGACTTTGGGAGGGTGCGGCTTCGTGAATACAATCCAACCCACTGTGGATGTGTATTTGGCTTCCACCATCACCCCCTCACACTCACACACACATGCACGCACACAGGCACACACCCAAACACGTATCAGTCACTGTGGCTGAGTGGCATCGTGACACCACTGGAGCAATGGCTCCTGTCAAGTGGAGGAAAAGAGATGACCGTAGGGACAAATCTCCTTGCCCTCTCCTGTCTCTTCTCTGAGTTCCATTGTCAGATACCAACTAGCTCCCTTAAGAAGCTCCCATGTACCTTAGGGCTACTTGGAAATATAAATGCTGAGATGGTCACTCGGTCACACAGCTCTGATGAAGATTCTCTCTCTTGTATCATTTTTGCTTCCACTTCACACAAATACTAATAGTTATGCTCAATTAGCCCAGTGGGAGACAGTATGAAGCAAGGGAAGTATCAGGTAAATAGATACCATGGTGTTTTCTGCTTGCTTTTGAAAGGTTGGGTTCCTGCAGGTCAGAAAGCAAAGAGAAGTCATATCTACATCATCTCTGGATTCTTTTGCTTCCCTCTGCCTTCCTAAATGGACTTCAGTGGGTTCTTGGTGCCTAAAGCATGGTATAAGCCCTTGAGTTGGTTGTAATACTCTTTCAACAAGGAACTCAAGACAGGGCATTAGATATGTCAGCACGAACACCAGCTTCTTGGTGGGGAAGTGCTAGGCAGGATATGACTACACTGAAGAGGAAACTTGGAAGGTTGGTGTGGGCAGAGAAGCTGAACCAGTAGCAGCAGAGGTACTGTGATCTCATTCATGCCCTGTTCAATATTCTGTGGGGTTTGGGAAACTAGTCCACAAAGAATAGCTGAACAAGTTCTGTCTCTTTGCAAATTATGATTTCTAAGGGTGCAGGAAATGAAGCAGAATCAGCCCATCATTTGTGTCAGAAATATGTGGAATGTGCCTGGGGTAGAATCTAGTTTGCTCTTGCTAAATCTCCAAATGCCTACACAGTGGACCTTTTTCTCCTTGCCTCCCTTGACCAAATTTTTTATTTTTTTTCCAGCAGTTCCCCTGAAGTCTTCATTTGTTCCCTTTTCTTCCAGATATACTCAAAAATCCTTTCTTCCCTAAACCCTCTCCTGATCATCTAAAACTCTGTCCCAAAGGGTTTGGAGACTTCATTTTCTGTTGCTCCTGTCTCACTGCTCCTGTCTCTTACAAAAGAAAATACTGAATAAAAATGACCAGTCAGAAGAAGCTTTCAGAAAAACTGGGCAGAAGCAAAGCTGTTTTCCAATCCTTTAGTGTTTTTTAAAAGATGAACAAGGAGTAAGGTAAATAAAAACAAAGAATTATGATTCGCTATGGAGACCAACTTACGTAGAAGCCTTTAAAATAGAAAAAGACAAGATTTACTGTGAAAACTTGTTCTTTCTAGGCTAAATAACCAAAACACAGTGTCAACCCAGGACCACACTTAATGACATTTATAATCATATGTGGTAACTTGCCCATCACAGATGGCAGTGGCATTTTTGGTGGAATTTAAGAAAAGCAAACATCAAATGGAAGATGAGGTACTAGCATTTTCCATGCTGCTGATAAAGCCCTAAGTGCAGTGTTTGTAGGCTTCCCCTTCACCTGGATAAAATCCATCAGAACCTGCCTGGAATACCCATGAACCTTCCTTAGCACATAAGAAACCCACATCACAATTTATCTTATCACTAGGACTCCCCCCCCCCAAATAATCAAATACATCTCCTATCTGAGCCTGTTTCCTATCCCTTACTAAATCCCAAATCCTTCCCATGGTTTGCCATCAGTCACCCACCCTGACCTTCTTTCACACTTCTGGCTCATCCTAGGGTCCCTCAAATGTAGCCATCTTGAATGTCAGACATCTCTCCTCATACATTTGTCAGATCATGGAGCCTAGAGATGGAACAGGTCCCTTCCTTGTTCATCCTTGTGATTTCCAGACCATCTCCCACCCTCTTTAAAAGCCACACACGCACAGTAAAATCTGGCTGGAAACACATCAGGAGATACTAGCTGTTTGACCTCTCTTGATGCAAAAGTTGAAATATTTTTGAATTTCTCTCCCCAGTTCCTGTCATAACATACGCCTGTACCATGCACAAGTTAACATTTTTGTTGACTGCAGAAGTTATATAAAATATCTTCCTGTATCCTGGCCTCTCAGTTCCTTGAGCTCTGCTCCTTCTATAACTTTGCCCTCCATTATTCAGCCCACTACCTCACCACACCAGCTGCCAGAAAGCTTCTTTCTAAATAACCTCAAATCCTCCACCATCCTAACTCCAAGTACACAGCTTCAGGCTCAGCTCCTAATTTCTAGGTTACTCTTTCTGGGACCCCAAGTTAATAACTTGGTAACTCCTACCTTTATTTTAGTCTCCCCCCACCCAGGCTTCTTCAGTGTTTCACACTGCTTAAAATTCCTGTTTTCTTCCCCCTGCTTAGATTCTATGGCTCATCATGATCACTGTTCCACAGCATTTAACCTAACTCCACAACTCCAACTACTTTCCCTGCATTCACTTGTTAAACCCAAACACTAATCTTAATTCTCTATCTGCAAAGAGTGTAATGGAAAAATATTTCTTAAATATCTTTAAATTCACAACCAACAACCTTAAGCATGTCTCTTACATTTTTTCTTATCTCCATTCTTCATGTTCAGTGATGGCATGCCTAATGTATAGTGGCTTCTCTTCTGAAGCTTCACTGCTTGTACCCCAATACCAACTCTTAACTCATGGATTCCATTCAGTTCAACACTGAAAAATATCATCAATTAGAAAAGCATACTTCCACACTTATGAACATACTTAATATAGCATCTCTCTTCTATTCCCGTAGAACTCCTAGCTGGGCTCCAAACACCAATCTCATAGGATTCAATCCCATTTGACCACATCAAAGATATTACTCCAGCAATTGTCCCCTCTCTCTAAGAATCAGCCACTTTCCCTTGCTAGTGGACAGCATAAAGTGAGCTATTTCTCCCATCTTAAAATTATTTCTCCTGGAGCTCCACATAGTTCTTCACTGCTGTCTGTATGTCCTTTTTACAACACAAATCCTAAGAAGGATTGCTCATGTGTGCTGGCACCACTTCCTCACCTGTAGCTCTCCTTTGAACCACCTCCTTTATATTTCTATCCATCCAGTCCCCTAAACACTGTCTTTCAGATCACCAGTGGAACGAGCTCTGTTTCCGGAAGATTCTTTTCACTCAGTGGTGGCAGTTGATTTGTCTCTGGCCATTCTGGCTAGGGCTAGCACTTCCTCTCCTGGGACTGTGACTACTCCCAAGGTAAATCTGAATTTGATTCCATCTGCATTAATTCCCTACATCCAGTCTCATGGCTTCGAATGTTATCAAAATGCTTACAGATTCCAAGTACATCTTTAGGCCCTCCCTCTTTTGAGAACTCCTGGTTTGAACAGCCAATTGTCTAATGGGCATTTCTACCTGGATTTCTAATAGACACCTTAAGCTTACTACAAAGATGTATTTCCTTAAGATTTCATGTGTTTCCTGTCATCCAAACTCCAGTGTTGTTTATGCTTGTACCTCAGCATCTAAAACAAACTGGCACAGGCTTCCATTCAGTTAATACCCTTGCATGGATAAGACATCTCTCCAAGCAGGCTCTGAAACCATAGGTCACATCCACCTAAAGTAAGAGTACAGTAAGTCTAAATGAAACAAACAAAACAGCAAAATCCAAAAACTAAAGAAAACCCAAGCAACCAAAATCCCCCAAAGCAAATAAATTTGAGTAACCAGATTTCTAAAGGCAAGTACAGAGCTCACTTTCCTTGTTCCTTTTTCTATGTGAACATTATCCTTGAATTTATTATTTTTTTAAACAATTCAGACTCTCATTCAGCAGTTGATCTCTGTCCCTTTCTTCCTTTGTCGCATTCCTCTCAAATCCCTCTGGTTACAGTAGAATTTAGACTCAGTATCTGAGATTACTTAATGTTTTAGCCTTCCTGATTTGCTCAGAACATTTGATCTATCACCCATTAATGGTACTTTGTAGTTTAAAAGATCACGTCTGACATAGGCAACTACTTTGAAGACAATAAGATTCACTAAGATACTCATTCTGGTTTGACTATTGTCTTCTTTGGAAGTCCTGTAATGTTTACAATGCCTAAGTTTTATTGGTCTTGTTCTCTACTGTTTTGTCCAACTTTATAATATCTAATAAGATAGACAATTCTTTTTAAGGAAACAAGGGACAACGTTGATAACCATTGTTGATAAACTTGTACTCTGTTCTACACCATGTACTATGTCTATCCTTGGTATTGACTGACAGCTTTGTTTTGCCATATTTGACTGTATTCTTCCCCCCCCCCCCAAAGAAAGTAATAAGCACTAAGGAGTAATAAAATCCAAGATGTGTAAATTTTGTTGTAAAAAAGAGAGGGAAAAAAAAAAAAGAAAAAGAGCTCTAATGGATATAACAGCAAGTGTGTTTGGGGGTGTTAAATAGCTGACTTTATCAATGTTTTTGGAACATTGAACACAGCTGTTTGCAGTCTCCCTGTTTGAATGTCCACCTTGTGTTCTTTGATACTGTGATTTGAGGAACTATTTTCAAGAAGATAGTGTGTAATCTACTAGCAGGTGATTTCTTACTGTTATGTTTTTTTGTTTTGTTTTGTTTTGTTTTGTTTTGTTTTTTTTGTAGTTCTGTATTGCGTGTACCCTTACGCCGCTTTGGTTTGTTTTGTGTTTTTCTCTTTTTCCTCTTAAATAAAAAAAAAAAAAAAAAAAAAAAAAAAAAGATCACGTCTGAGCCAATAAATTCCATGTTGATATATTTGGATTAAATTAATCTGTAAATGCTTATTTATAATCAAATCTACCGATTTTCTTTCCTGAAGTAAACAGTAATCAGATTAGAAACCCAATGTTTTCACTGAGAATGAGAAGATGTAATTTTATTTAAAGCATTTTCTCTCTCAAAGGTGATTTAACTTTGTAGTCCAAAATCATATCAAAATTGTACCAAAAAAAGTTTCAGCTAATCTCACTCTATTTCTCTGATATATTGCATCTGTTTTCTCAGGGCCTCTTGGCTTCTCCAATTAAGTAAATATAACACAAATTTAATCATACTGTAGCTCTTCTCATCTGAATATTCTTGACTGGAGAATGGAAATCATTTTAGAGAAGTTGCCCTAAAAGTTCAGTGGATGAGTTTTGAAGAGTCAAGCTGCATCACTTATCAGGGTCTTCCTGAAGGAACGCTCATATTTCTTTCTAAAGTTAGCCCAGTATCATTTTGGAGCAGTCAATGGCAGCCCAATTTCTCCTTCTGTGGGACCTCAAGGGTTGTGACAAATGTTCTAGAGGTAAACCAGATGCAGCCATTATTGTTTCCTGACTCCCCACTTTGTTTCTAGATATTTCCCCTCACTTTGATGAAGAGAAAGCATGCCTCAAAACAAAGCTTGATGTCTGCTTGTCATTGAATCTATTTCCCATCCAATTTTTCTTTCTTGTTACAAAAGGACATTCCATTAATAGTTTTAAAAAGGCTAACTGCAAGGACTCAGTGCCTGAGATATTTAGAAACACTTGCTTCCTATGAACCTAGGACCAAGGAGAGCTGAGGATAGTATTAAGTCACTACCACACTCGAACTAAAATCCATGCATTCTCTCTCTATCATACAGATTCTACCTTGAAAAGCAGAGAGAGATAGAGAGAGAGAGAGAGAGAGACAGAGAGAGAGAGAGAGAGAGACAGAGAGAGAGAGAGAGAGAGAGAGAGAGAGAGACCAGAAATGCTTACAAAGGCACAACAGACATTTTGACCAAAACCCCTGTGCACACTCTCACAGAGGTTGCTTAATATTCTGAGCACACCCTTCTCCCTGAGCAACACCACGGGCTTTTTCACGGGGCACACTCACTATCCCAGCACTTGACCTTGGGTTGGAACATCTGGGAACAGGGTCTTGTTTGCTTACTTAATAATTTTTTCCTTCTCCAGCCATCCTTTTAAGTTAAAAAAGATAAAACCTTGAGAAATTATTACTATGATCCTCTTTTAACAATATAACAGTTTAGATAAAAATTAGGCTTAAGGAACATACTCATCCATAATAGGAAAAGAAGGCAGGGACAGGAAACAAAGCTTTGAAGGGAAACCAGGAAAGCTACCAAAAGGCTAGGAGATGAGGAAGAATTTCCATGCAAGAAATGGGGAAAGCTTTTCTCAGCTATTAAACCCACTTTGGAATGGCTAAAAGCTTAAGTATTTTAGACACTTTTCTAGTATAGATATCTTTTTTGTCACACACCAACCACCGAAATTCATCTTGGAATCACGAGTGCCAGAAGAGGAAAATGCCTCAAAGAAGAGGTGGCTCTTAGACAAATAATACAATACTTAAAGCCCATTAAGATTAAATGCAACATGCTGGTTGTACTCACTCTTCATGAATTCACATTCCATAATTTGCCACTAGGATGTTTGGTGATAACCAGGTAGATTTCTTCACCATGTGGCAATGGGGAAAAAAAAGGGAAAGCAGACAACCATTGTAACTGGCCCAGAAGATTGTAATTTTGTTCTTGATCTAATTCATCTCCCTGAAGGCAGAAGCAGCTCTAGCATATTGGTGAGCAGAAGATATTGAACAGAACAATGATGCTATGGCTTATTTCATTGTGAGAAAGACAACAAAAGCTCAAAAGAGTTGGTAAAGCTCAAAAAACCCACCAACTTTCTTGATTAGGTTGCAAGTTATTGGACATACAAATTTCCCCAGGAGACTTCTCTTCAGTGGCGCAATGTTGAAACTCTGGGATAAGAATTCTTTGCCCATTTTGTAAGCTCCATCCACATATTTGGCTTCATCCAATAGGCTTTATCCAAACAGGGTTATACGAATTATTCTTTCATGTAAGCTACAGAAGGAAAGAGAGGTGTGAGCTGCCCAGGTACTAATGACCAAAGGGAAGAAATCAAACCACAATATCAGGGAAATTACATTCTTCCCACACAGTAAGTAAGAAGTTTAAGCTCATATGGTTTCTGTTGCTTCACAGAGAGTCCTAGGCTCTAAAACTGACTTTATCCTCTTCTTCTTTTCCATAGGATACCTAAGCACCCAGACCCACTAAAATCTACTCAAAGTAGGATGGTTACTGGTATGAATTCCCTTTCTAAAAACTTTGTCCCTAATGCTTCCCTGAGCTGTACTGTTGGCAGCTAGGGTTTAAGGTTGTATTTTCATTTCTACTTTAAAATTTAATACTAAGCATAAGAACTTTGCCATTTAAATTAAATAATTCTCTGGGGATCTATATAATTTTTTTTGTTTTTGTAATACTGGGGACTGAACCCAGGATCTTCACACTCAGCAACATTCCCAGCCTTTTATTTTTATTTATTTTATTTTTGAGACAAATTTTTGCCAAGTTGCTAATTTGATTGGGCTGGATTCAACCTTATGATTCTCCTGTCTCAGCCTCTCAGAGTACATTTATGGGCTGGTGCCACCATGCCTGGCTACCTTATGAATCTTATTTCCTTGCATATCACATGAATCTAGCTGTAACATGGGAGAGATAAGGGTCATTTCAGGGAATAAGATGTTCCATACACTCATCAGCAGTTGGCCTTGATACTTTGTCATTAAGGAGCATCATAATTCAGGTACTTACAATGATATTCCTAAGAAAGATGAAGCCATCATGGTGTCAAGAGAAAACATCCCTCTTTCTTTACTTATTATGATAATGGAGGCAAAATGATATTTGTAACTGACTTGATTCCAAACTTTGAGCTTAAGGAAGGTTCAGGTGCCTACCCTCCCTTCCCCCATACATGGGAATAAATCCCCTCCCCCCTCTGACCATATCCTCTCCTGAATCAGGTCCTGAACCAGGATTTGGGAACTCCTGTAAAAGTGATGGGATAAAAGGGATTTTCCTTTTTCCTATTTCTTCTTTTGTCTTCTAAGATATCGATGAAGTCATCAAAAAACAAAACAAAGAAACAGAAATCACAAGCCAACATTAAGCTACGATACTCTTTTCATTGTTCTGGATAGAAGCAGAATGCTCTGTACATGGACCAGAATTGCTTCCGTGGCACAAACTAAAGACACTCTCCTCTTAGGAAGGATGGTTTCCTGTTAACCACACATCAGTGAACAGGTGGGTTGGATAAAAGGTACTTGTAGGGACTCCCTGGCCTACAAATGATTAGAGAATTTACCATTACAATTTGAGGGCAAAATCCAAGATTTTACAAGTATTCTCAGCACGCTTCCTTTCTTCAGGATTTAGGCAGCCAATGATTATTTATTATGGGTCTGGGGGATATAGGTCCTTCCTTTGAAAATTCATTGTTTAAGTGAACTTCCTGATATTTATGTTTCCAGAATTGATTTATAGTTTAATATTAGAAGCAGGGCTTGCTCTACTTCAACTTGACTAAATGACATGGAGATACACAGAAAAATCTAAGAAGTTCTCCCTTGGGGAAGCCTAGTTCACTCCCCACTGTTAGTTTTGCTGATCCAAATTAACACTGTCAGAGTGTCATGAATACTCTGAACGCATCCCCAGAGTTTCCTGCCCCAGGTAACAGTCTGTGAACTCTTTTGTCTCAGGTTTCTCTTGAGCTTTTTATTTGTATGATTTATGTGCTATAGAAATTGTTAATTATAAAAATTTATTCATAGTGTCTTACTCTACAAAATGCAGATGTTTTTATTTGATCTTACACTTTTCTTTACTATAGATCATTTTCTACCCTTTCCTGTTGGTTTCCAATTTGCCTTCTTTTTGCCCCTTTTGACTGGTCTGGTTCATGTGGATTAAGGGCTAAATGAGCTGATTGGGTTTCATAAATTTTGCTATATTGAAAACACTGAATTGTGGTACACAATTCAGGCAACGTTATTCACTGTGTTGGACTAAGAGTTAAAATTTCCAATAAGTTATAGTTCTGGCAAGAATTTTCATTATAACTTTTTTGACTTGCTTAATTTTGCTATCCTGCAACTTTTTTCACTTGTAAAATTAAAAATCATATTTCCAAATCAAAGGAGGTCTTTTGGAGAAATGGTTATAGTTATCTACATGCAAACTACAGTGGTAGCTCACCAATTTAATTCTTTCCATGATTCTTGTCAGAGAATTCATTCAGTGTTTAATTTGGTTGCAACCAGAATCATGAATCAAATTCTGTGACCAAGATCATGGAAAGAATTAGGTTTGTGAATTGAGGTATCATGGTACTTTGATTTACTCAGATTGTACCACAGGCTGATGGTGGTAGAGGCTTCAGGGGGCTGTTGGTGGTTCTAGAAACTCCCTCCTTCTCCAAGGATGGCAGCCTGAGGTAGGTCAGAAACTGCCATAGCTTTGTAATATGGGAATTAGACTAAGAATTCTAAAGGAATATCCCTTCACTATTTGTGATCCATTTATTTTGCCTGTTATGAGGAAGTAACTAATGTAAATGCATTGACCATTGAAAGTCCCCAAGAGTGTCAGGAACACTTCTAGAACAAAATTTCTCTCTTTTCTATGGTCCAAGGTGCCCAGTTATGTATAGTAGGCTCTGTCCTGCTTGTTGAAATGGGTTGGAATTGATTGAATTATACCAATTGGGCTCTGATTTGGAAACATTAAATACTATGTGATCAAATTCTATACTTTCTCAACTTCCCATCCTAATATTGATGGACTGATTGATTGATTGATTGATTGTGTGTGTGTGTGTTACTTGGAATTAACTTAGGATACAAAATACCTCAAGATCTATAAATTGAGAAAGAAAAGAGAATGAAAGAGATAATAAAATAATGAAGAAAAAACACATCTGTAAGTGCCCTGGTTTATTTCTAAATGTATTCTCATCAAGGGAGGATTTTTTAAAAAACTATTGTATGTTTCTCTTAATAGAACTTCTATCTGTTTCCTCTTTACCCTCCTCCTTTCCTTCTTGAATGAAGTCTTGCCACTTTTTCTTTTCTGATCCTGGGACAAGTAGGATGTAAAACTTACTAATCTCACACGACACTCATCCTTATTCCTGTTGGGACTGAGAGAAGACCTCTCTGCCTTTGCTCATGACGCTTCAAAGAGCAGATGTGGGTACTCATGTCATGGATGTATCTAAGCAACAAGGCCTTCTGTTCCCAGAGAGACTGGCTTCTTTTTCTCTACCATCTTAGCACCAATTCACTAAGGAAACATCAAAAGACTGCATGGACTCCAAAAGACAGTCAGTAGGGTAACTAAGTTGTTCCAATACAAAGACTATGCTTCCTCCAGAAAAAGCCCGATATTGAGATGTCAGTGGTCCCCAGCTAGGTAGAGAAAGAGAGAAAATACTGAATAAATTGTAGTATGACTGTCTATCCAGTACTTGATGAATACTTTTATCAACCATAAAGTGATATTGACAACTAGCATGTAGTTATGATTTTGCGTGTGTGTGTGTGATGAGGAGGTACACAAACCTTAGAATGCTCATGGCAAAGAGACTATCTAATTAGGTGCATTAGAAGCATTTTGGTGAATAAGTGGGAGCAATTAATAAGTTACTGAGAGCACAACTCAGCCAGAAGCAACGAAGTTGACTCATCACTGGTTTGCAGATGGCTCCTTAAGCTGCGTGCAAGGGGAATACTAAAATAGACATTGATTTCAAAAGAAATGATCAATGATAACTCAAATGTGACAATGGCAGTTAATTACATAGACTACTTTAAAGGATTGAAGTTTCAGGTAGGCATTAATTTTTTGAGAAAAGATATCCCTGTCAGAAGCAGGTAATATCCTCATCTAAGGCAAGCAGCTCATCACATTCCTATTCCTGTGGTCACATTCTCCAAAGCTCCAGTCCCATCTGAGCTCAGAGACTTCAATTCTCTTCCTGCAAAGAGAATGTGTAGATGGAGTTATGATGTGGTGGCTCAGATTCTGTAGGGAGGAGAGGTAGATGAGTATCTCCCTCTCTTCTAGGACAATGATCAAGGGCTCTTTGGATGCTGTAGCCAAAGAGACTGTACCTTGGCTCAGAGATAACCTCTGGCCAGATGTCTTGTAAACATTAGAGACCTCACAGATTTGGTTTGAGTCACATCCTTATTCATCTCAAGGTGGGAACAGTTCTTTCTGAACACTGCCCTGGAAAACTGTTATTTTTTGCTGGAATCTTTAGCACTTTGTCAAACAATCTACACCACAAGTGGGAATGATGGTGGCCCTTAGAAAGTGTTTTTGGCCATTGGAAGTGACAAAAGGAATGGATATTTGGATGTCATCAGCTGGGGTCTTGCCTTTGGAGTTCTCTGCTTTCGGAAGCTGTCACCAAAGCCAGTAACTAGTGGGCTCCCCACTTTATTTGGACATGAAAGGAAGCTCTACTGCAGACCTCCCATTCTTCTCTTTCCACCTCTGTTCCCTCATCTCTTACAGGTACTTCTAGGCAAAAAGATGCACATAAATACTTTATGGATAAAATCACATGAAATTTTGGTCCAACAGAAATTTGTGAATGTCTTTCTTTGGAGGATGGCTGCTTTACCACCCTCCTGCTAACTATTACCAGACTATATGTTTCATTGTTTAAAAATAAAGTCTCAGGGCTGGGGATTTAGCTCAGCGGCATAAGTGCCTGCCTTGCAAGCAGGCAGTCGTGAGTTTGATCCCCAGTACCGATTAAAAAAAAGAAAAAGACAAAAAAAAAAAAGTCTCATAGTACAGCATGACGAGATATTGCTCTAAAATGTTAACTATCCTCATTCCCAGAATCAATACTATTAGATAAAATTGAACTTTTCAAAAAATGTAATCCATCTAGACTTACATGTTAATTTTTACTAGATATATCCCAAATTGTCACACGTTTTGCCCTAGCTTGCCAATAATTTCTCTACTCCTTT